AGTTTCGCTTTCACAACGAAGCACACAGCTCCTTCACGACATGGCAGCAACAACAATACTACAACGAGAATCAAAGTTACACTTTTTTTCTTTGCGTGAACATTTGGGTGGCGTTATGCAAATCTTCCCACATAGTGACGTAGGTATGTGGGGGCGTGTTGGAACAAGCTGTTTTAGGTAGGTGTGGCTGACTCTTAACTTTTATAAAGAATATCTCTTTGGATTTGAGACTTTAGTCTTTGCAACTTTACAGATCTTCTTTATGCACCAAGAGCTTGTAACACTCCAAAGAGAAAGGAAAACTTGAAATCGCATCATATGACGTGCTGTGATTGGTTAGCTGAGCCAGTGTGTGCTGTGATTGGTTAGCTGGGCCAGTGTGTGTTGTGATTGGCAGCACTCGGCGCCTGGTCGGGAAATGTCATGCCCCTTACCACTGCGAGCTTCAGTGTAAATATTGCGTCAAAATCAAATCAATTTGAGTGTGATTTAAACCCGGATGATTGTAACCACTCTAAGTTCGTCTGCCTTGGGAAAGCTAGTCTCAGACATAGTGATAACACTCGTTGCCTTCTCTAGTGCAGCTCAACCAGGTCTCGTCCCATTCGTCGATATTTGTGATGTCACAAATCCCGGGAAATATGCGTTGTAGTCCAAACGAGTCGTTCGTTGTAGTTTTTGAAAAGTGATTTCTGTTAAATAAAATATCTGCTTTTGAATTGGACTTTGAGCTTTGTAACTTTGCAGACCTTTTTTATGCTCAAACAGCAACATTACAGACTAACTAAAGTTGAAAAAGTGAAAAAGCATAATAGGACCCCTTTAAATAGCTCTTTAATTGAATATTTAAAGTTATTTCACACAACTAATTTCTAAACATAAAAAAGTCTAAATATAATTGTATTAATATTTTAAATTTCTTATATTTTCGAATAATTTTTATATTATTATTTAGGTTTCATTTATTTTTTGTTTGAGTTATATATTTTTTTTTTATATTTTATTTTTTTTACAGTTAATAATTTTAGTACTTAGTACTTAAACTTATTTTAGTTAGTTGCCAAGGCATAATTTCTAATTTATTTTAGGTTTAAGTGTTATATTTGTATTATTTATATGCTATTATTGTTTATATTAATATTTTGAATTAGCTTTTTATATTTTCAGTTTTTTTGCTATGTGCTTGTCATTTTTTTTTATCTTACTGTTTGGGTTTAATCTGTTTTTAGTTTAGTTTTAGTTTATTTACAGCTAGTAATTATAGTACTTCAACATAATTTTTTTCAGTTTGTTGGCAAGGAAATTATATTTATATTTGATCTTATTTCAACTTTATTTAATTTGACAAAATATGTAATATACAGCATAACCTTGTTGAGAACTCATGATTTTGTTGGCTCTTCTCTCAGTTCCTGGAGTTACTGGTGTTCTGTTGGTGCTGGTGTTGTTTCTGATGTTTACAGCGTCGTCTTACTGTATTAGGTGGGAACCTCTAACCCTTTAACTGTTATTTGACCTGACTCTGACCCTAGTCTCCTCTTCCTAGGGTTCTGCCACTGAATAAAAAAACAAAAAAGGTAATTGCAACATTTTATCTCACGATTCTCTGTTTTTCCTCGCAATTGCCAGAAATCGCAAGATACAAACTCGCAATTGCGAGAAAGAAAGTAAGAATTGTGAGATGTAAACTCACAATTGCAAGTTAAAAAGTCAGAATTATGGGGTATAAAGTCAGAATTGTGAGATTAAAAGTCACAATTTCCTGCTTTGTTGAAAATGACGTGTTTGAGAGAGGCGGGGCATAGAGGACCTACAATAATGTACAGTATTTGAAAAAGAATGTTTTTTGAACATTTAAGCATGTCAACATATTCTGTTACACCAAATACACAAATAATGATCTTTAAAATAGCATCATATGACCCCTTTAAAAAAAAAAGTATATACCCAGCTAACAAGGACCGTTCTCAGAACGTTCTGGCAAGGATCTCTAGTTCCTCCAGTAACATTAACATTTTTTAAAAGTTATTTGGTCTTTAATAATGCTCTCAAAACATCATTTACATTGTTCATTTCGTCTAACATTCTAATGTTCGTCTAACTTTTTTTTTTTTAATGTTGCTACTAGTTTCAGAATGTTCAGAGAAAATTCAAAAGTAACGTTCCCATAATGTTTGCAAAAGGATCAAATGGAATGTCTTGGACATTTTAAATGTTCCAAAAACAACATTTTCATAGCTTAATGTTTTCATATCGGCCTCTAAGAACGTTTGCAAAAAGTTATTAGGGGCCATTCACACAGAACTCATCTTCGCATCTAAAATTGAGAGAAGGAATAAAAAAAAAAAAATGCAGTGCAGAATGCCGCCTCCACATAGCTTAATGTTTTCATATCGGCCTCTAAGAACGTTTGCAAAAAGTTATTAGGGGCCATTCACACAGAACTCATCTTCGCATCTAAAATTGAGAGAAGGAATAAAAAAAAAAAAAATGCAGTGCAGAATGCCGCCTCCTCCATGTTGCCATCAAATAAAACAGTTGCCATGCCAACTTGCTACTGTAAACAAAAACTCACAACGCTTGCCCCGCCTCTGGGGTCTTCTGATTGGTCTACTGTTTTGGAACTGACATTGATCAAATTAAATTATTTTAACTTGACACGGTGTCTTAAAAACGTGGCGCTCATGTGTGAGACACTGCAAAAGACGTGAACACAACAATCATACAGGTCTATTGGAAATAATGGAAAAGTAGCGCATTCGAATAGAAAAACTCATTATGTGTGAACGGCAACGGCCCCTTAGAACATATTTTGTTAGTTGGGTACTGTGCAGTAGGCAGAAATTAGTATGCTAGTATTACATTAGTTATGTTTGGAATGGAATTCTAGAGTATTGCATATTGCATACTGTTGAAATAGCATGAGTAGTATGGAAGTGCATTTTTCTGCCCACATGCAGCATCTCTAATCTCATTGGTTGTTCTGCTTTCTTGTCCCACCCCAGAGTGCACGTGGATGGTCCATTTGGCAGCCCGTCAGAGGAGGTGTTTAATTATGAGGTCAGCCTGTGTGTGGCGGGAGGGATCGGAGTCACGCCATTCGCTTGTGTTCTACAGGCTCTCTTGTGAGTGACACAACCTGTCAGTCACCTTAACTGTAACATTAGATCATTCTTAAACACTTTGGCTGTGTACTAAATGGAACACTAGTGTACTGCAAACTGCTCAGTACACACTGTACACTGCATACTGCATTCCTCTAGTTCAACTGGTGGCTATGGGTAATAGATCATCCCAAGATTGCGGGCCACTTTAATGATTGCAGTAATCAAAAATGATGATGTGTGTGTTTGTTCTGCAGTAAAAGAGTGGGGGTTTTCTGCTGTGGACCCAAAGGGATCTCTAAAGCGTTACACATTCTGTGCAATTCAAACCCACACACAGGAACTGCATTTGAGTACAACAAAGAGTCTTTCAGCTGAGGAACGCAAGCAAACCCATTGTTTAATGCCAAATAAAAAGCCATTAGAGTCTGTTTCTGTCACCGAGGAATGAAGATAAGAGCAGACAAATGTAGATGAAGATGTCTGGAATTCATGCACAGCGTTCTTATCTAAAAATGAATCCTCAGACGAAGGGACGGAAAGGCGGTAAACAGTGTAATGAGATGGAATATTTGTGATTCTAGTTCTGCAGTAAAAGAGTGGGGGTTTTCTGCTGTGGACCCAAAGGGATCTCTAAAGCGTTACACACTCTGTGCAATTCAAACCCACACACACGAACTGCATTTGAGTACAACAAAGAGTCTTTCAGCTGAGGAACGCAAACAAACCCATTGTTTAATGCCAAATAAAAAGCCATTAGAGTCTGTTTCTGTCACCGAGGAATGAAGATAAGAGCGGACAAATGTAGATGAAGATGTCTGGAATTCATGCACAGCGTTCTTATCTAAAAATGAATCCTCAGACGAAGGGACGGAAAGCCGGTAAACAGTGTAATGAGATGGAATATTTGTGATTCTGCATGTAGAGTTTGTCTACATGAACCCTTGATAGACCCTTACAGGAACAGCTCACCCAAAACTTTTAATTTGCTGAAAATGTCTTCACCCTCAGGCCATCCAAGATGTAGATGCTCAGGATCCTCTGCAGTGAATGGGTGCCGTCAGAATGACAATAATCCACAAGTAATCCATAGCACTCCAGTCCATCAATTAACATCTGGAGAAGCCAAAAGCTGTGTGTTTGAAAAAAAAAAAAACTTTTAACTTAAAACTGTTTCTTATGGCCAAAATACAAGTCCAATACAATACAAGTTTGTTGGAAGCAACTGTTTTGTCTTCTCAAGACATTAATTGATGAACTGGAGTGGTGTGGATTACTTGTGGATTATTGTGATGTTTTTATCAGCTGTTTGGACTCTCATTCTGACGGCACCCATTCACTGCAGAGGATCCATTGCTGAGCAAGTGATGGAATGCTACATTTCTCCAAACCTGATGAAGAAACAAACTCATCCTAATCTTGGGGATGGCCTGAGGGCGAGGATATTTTCAGCAAATTTTCATTTTTGGGTGAATTATTCCTATATAAACTGGGTTAAAAAGCACTAGATCACCCAAAAAAATGTACTCACCCTCATGTCATTTCACATGTTGTCTTGGCTATTAATAGCATGTTTTGGTTTATTTTATACCTTTACAAACACAAACGTACATGCAAACCATATTTAAAGTATATGTTTTTGTTTCTTTTTAAATACTTATTTCTTTTGTGTTCTGTACAGCATGTTGCATTATTGTTCATATTTTATTAGGAGAGAATATGCTCATGTCAGTGTCCTAAATGAACCACACTGTTATTGTATCACCACTGCCAAAGATTTCATTTAATCACTGATTTATCATATCAATCTTTTTAATATTACTTTGTACACGTATTATATATAAACACACAATACATAAGTGCCACAGTGATGATACAAGCACCATAAATATCACTGGTTGACTAGAGACCTTAATTGTGTTCAGAAAACTAGCTTACTGCACTGTGTACTATTTATTCATTATCATGCAAAACAGAATGCATTATGCAACAATACGCATGTCAAACAATAGTATGCAACAGTAATGTCATATGAATTTTAAAAGCAAAAAACCTAACTTCAGTAAGATTGCATGAGGAGATGTTCAGATTTGGGGTTTATTCATCGCACTGGAAATTGAAAGTCCAGTCAAGTGCATTGCATTATGTGATGCAGTATTTTAATCAGTATATTTTTATTGTATACTGCACTTTTTGACTAATGTGTAGTATGTACACTAGCAGTCAAAATTTGGGGGTCAGTAAGACTTTTTAAAATGTTTTTGAAAGAAGTTTCTTCTGCTCATCAAAGCTGCATTTGTTTGATTAAAAAAAACAGTAAAATCAGTAATATTGTGAAATATTTTTACAATTTCAAATAACTGCTTTTTATTGTAATATATTATAAAATATAATTTATTCCTGTGATCAAAGCTGAATTTTCAGCATCATTACGCCAGTCTTCAGTGTCACATGATCCTTCAGAAATCATTCTAATATTTGCTGCTCGAGAAGCATTTCTGATTATTATCAATGTTGAAAACAGTTGTGCTGCTTCATATTTTGTGGAAACAGTGATACGTTTTATTTTTAAGATACTTTGATGAATAGAAAGCATTTTTTTGTTTGAAATAGAAAGACATTACAAATGTCTTTACTTTTGATCAATTTAATGCATCCTTGCTGAATAAAATCAAAAACAGTACTGTATGTAGTGCACATTATGCATACTACAGCAAGATTCTGAACGCTGCGCTTATTGCATTACTCCAGTTTAAGAGGCAAGACCTTGTCTCATTTGTCACATGACCTGGGTTAACTGGCTGTTGTGTCTTTTTCCCGTCAGCTTGGCGTATCTGTCCTCGCTCTGATTCACAGTGTAGTCTGATATGAAGTCGATCCCTCCTCTTCACTGCTGTTCAGCAGCGGCTGTCTCTCCCCGTACGCAGACAACTTTGGCCTCTTCGGGGGTCTGCGACACGCCACGGCGATAATAGTTGCAATAATTCCCGCCACGGCCGCCCCGAGGAGCCCCGCAGCCAGCAGCCAGCGCCAGATCTGCTGAGCTTGCTCTAGATACGGCGTCAAAAACTCCTGCACAAACCGCTGACCTGCCAGAGATAAAAGTGATTGAGTACACAGAGAGAGAATGAAGGTGCAGGAAAGTCCCTGAATGCATGCTAATGACTCACTTGGGTCCTGTAAATATGCATATTCATATCCCAGAGCTTTAGTCGAGAGGAAATAATCTCCGTTTCTGTACAGAGGGATGAAGGGGACCATGTAATAGCCATCATTGTGTCCGATCGGGGCGTTGGCTGTCGGGTAGTGTGTGCGGGGGGGCTGGTGTCTCCTCAGCCATTGCTCAAAGATGCTGAAACACAGAAACGCA